TGGCAGCATGCACCTGAGGACTAACAAGAATGAAAAAGACGAGCAGCAGTCCAGCAGCAGCATGAACAAAGGATGATGTTTAAAAGGAGAAAAAAAAAAAAGGAAAAAAGGAGAAGGAAAATAAGGACTGTCATTAAATTCAACCAGAAATCAACGGAGAGGGGCTTGCTTATAAAATGAGTATCCATGTTATAAGCATTCCCAATGCAACACTTGCTATAAGGTGTTTGCCAATGCAAACAACCAACCAGATGCCAGCAACATCTGGAGACCAAATATACTGTATCTAAATGAGAAATCAATGGAACTTTTACAATATGAATTGACATGCCACATAGCAAAAAAGGAATGCAGTGGCCAGCATAAATGCTAAGTGCCTGCAGCCTCTTCATAGAACACTTCTCACGCGTTATAGCGAAAAGGGAATCACAAAAACTCTGGAAGTTTTTACCCACAGGCATCCCAAAAGTGGCATCAGACCTGTTCTCTGGTAAACCAGTTACTGGGCACATTCACCTACAAAACTACTCAGTGTACAATCATGATGATGAGAATGAAACGCTGACTTTTTCAAGTTTAAGGAACCATTTATTTGAAGTTAAGCTTCATCAAATCACTGATGCAACTTTCTCAGTAAACCAACTGTACTCCAGCAGATTTTAACTGGACCGTTGAGTGGAGATTACTTCTATCCTCAGTATTTGTTAATCTACAAGAACACAAAGCAAGGCTTACAGCTGTTGGACACATCCATAGAAAAAGGCGGGGCAAGTTCAAGCACCAGGATGAGAGCTGCACCGATAACCTAAAATTTGGAACACACAAATCCCTGAACACACACACACAAAGGACACACTACAGCCCAGGTTACATATACCAAAATGCATCTAACGTGACCAAAGATGTAGTTAAGACAGAATACAAAGTCAGTACAAAGTTTGCACTGCTACTGCATGGGAAGTGATGACAGCTTTTCCTTTCTCATGAAACATCCCGACTTTATCGTAAGACCACTCTGACAGCAATTTTGAACACTGTTTCAACCAGGAGGCCCTCTATCAGATTACCTATTCAGACTGCATGACCACTCTGATCATCCCTTATATCTCACCTGACTAGTTAATTTATCAGAAGTTTTTGCCTGACGGAATCCAACTGAACTCCACAAGGGCATTCTGGCACTGTGCAACCTAGTGCTGGAACACAAACATATAATGACAAGTAGATTGGAAACCCTGGCACTACAGCAGGGAAGCAACATGTCACATTTGTCTTGAAAACAATGACCTCTTCAAATCTTCTTGCTAGACATGGAAGACCATATTCAACAATCAGCCTCTGACAGCAGGAACATCCACTCTTCCGGACAGAGATATGAAACTTCTGACACCTTTCACAGAGATTTACTTGGGCAGGAGTGGATTCCGAGTGCTTGCAATGCTTAAGACAAAGCAAAGGTTTAGACTGCAAGCTGGTAATAATTTTAAGACTAAAGCTGAATGTGATTTCTTCCAGCATAGTTCTCCCTCAAAAATAACTTCTCTCTAGTCTTCAAACAGCCAAAAACATCTGTGAAAGCAAAAAGATCAGTTCTCAACAGTGACTGCAAAGCTAAATTTAATTGAGATCTGGGAAGGTCTAAAATGTTGCAAGAAATAGCTGCGCTACTGAGAACAGTTCATACAGAAGCACCACAGCTGTAGAACTACAAGCTGAGACTGCAAAACAGCTCACAGAGACTTGTATGATGTCTGTTCCCCTCTCTCATGAGTGTTGAAAGCTGAAACTCCTCAATTTTGAGACGTTCTTTTCTGGCAATGGGAATGTCAAGAACAATTTAAAGCAGATTAGACAGACCGAAGAGACTCATGCAGAATCATTGTCATTTTCTGTAACTAAACTGGCATCTGATGAACACCAGTTCAGCATAATTTAACACACACTCGGTATTGGGTTTGTATGGCAAGGTTTTGGTAGCCGGGGGGCTACAGCAGTGGCTTCTGTGAGAAGATGCTACAAGCTTTCCTCCGGAGCAGATCCACGCCGCCCGGCCCACAACGCCCCCCCGCCACTGGCCAGGGCCAAGCCCATCAGCAATGGCAGTAGTGCCTCTGGGATAACTATTTAACAAGGGGAAAAAAAACTGCAATTGAAGCTGGAGAGAGAATATGTGAGAGAAACAACTCTGCAGACACCAAGGTCCATGAAGAAGGAGGGGGAGGAGATGTTCCAGGCACCAGAGCAGAGATTGCCCTGCAGCCCATGCTGAGATGGCAGGCTGTCCCACTGCGGCCCATGGAGGTCCACAGTGGAGCAGAGATCCACCTGCAGCCCATGGAAGACCCCATGCCAGAGCAAGCGGATGCCCAAAGGAGGCCATCACCTGGTGGTAAGCCCATGCTGGAGCCGGCTCCTAGTAGGATCTGCAGCCCCATCGAGAGAGAGGAGCCCACACTGGAGCAGGTTTGCTGACAGGACTTGTGACCCTGCGGTGGACCCACACTGGAGCAGTTTGTGAAGAGCTGTAGCCCATGGGAAGGACTCACATTGCAAAAGTTTGTGGAGGACTGTCTCTCATGGGAGGGACCCCATGCTGAAGCAGGGGAAGGAGCGGCAAAAACAATGCGTGATGAACTGACTGCAATCCCCGTTCCCTGTCTCCTTGCACTGCTGGGGGGAAGAGGTAAAGAAAATCAGGACTAAAGTTAAGCCTGGGAAGAAGGGAGGGGTAGGGGGAAGGTGTTTTTATGATTTGGTTTTATTTCTCATTACCCTACTCTGATTTGATTGGTAATAAATTACTGCCCCCAAGTCGATTCTGTTTTGTCCATGACAGTAATTGCTGAGTGATCTCTCCCTGCCCTTATCTCAACCCACAAGCCTTTCCTTATATTTCTCTCCCCTGTCCAGCTGAGGAGGGGAAGTGATAGAGCAGCTTTGGCGGGCACCCGGCATCCAGCCAGGGCCAACCTACCACACACTCTTAAGAGGGCTTGCCCTTGTGGAGAGTAACAAATAACTGCCACTCTAAAAGCACAAGTTTTAAAGATGCCACTGTGTTGCCAGGGCAAGGGGAACTATCACCTTTGAATTCTAGCCAAATTCAGTTCAAGGATCAACTGAACACCAGGTATCCATAGTAGCTTTTGCGTCCCTAGACAAAAGTAAGGAGTACAGCGCTTGAAAGGTCTTTAGAAATCAGTACACAGCAGAAAATTCCTCATTATCCCTTCGTCATCCGATTAAGCTATACTTTCCCTAAATACAAGCACACAGGCATGCATTTCTCACCAGACCAAGGTGAGAAGAGCTGCTGAAGAGTCCATTGTAAGAAGAAACTGCTTTCCTGAACACAAAGATCTCTCTATTTTCTCTCTTCTCCCCAACTCCCAAATATGAAAACGGGTTTTCTAAATGATTTGCATTCTTGCATTTCACCATCTAAGTGAAGACCAAGCCTGCCTGGGAAGCCTATGGCCTGCACGTTTATTTGCTTACTTGCATCAGAGGCCCACAGTGACTGAAATGTACATTTGCCTTTGCTCATCTTCCGTAGTTCTATTAAATCACAGTCCAGAGCGCTCTCATAGCAGCAGTTATGTAAAGCAGCTCTGGGGTCTACACTGGCCAGGAAGCAGGAGCTGCTCAGCCTCACTGGCGTTTTTCCCCCCACTCTGGGGAAAAATCTGGATCAGACAGGCTGCTCCAGTGATCTGAAACAGGGTACTAGAAACGTTGTTTCCAACAAGCTATCATGCTTCCCACTACACAGACAAATACAAGTTTGAACAGTTTTGGACACTGCGTACAACAGGCTTTGCATCTTTGCAACCAGCAGGTATTGTCACAGCGTTCGTAAGCAGGTAAGAAACAGAATGCTTGACTTCCAGCAACAGCAATAATTAAGAATTCATGTTGCAAGACAATGATTTTTGTATGTGCCAGTAGCCTTTCTCCTCAGCAACTCCTCTTTCAGGCATGATCCTGCGTCTACTAAATAGTACTTAAATGGGCATCAAACAGCAGGAAATCTAAGACGTGTTACCTAGATATTGTAGCTTGAATGAATCAGGGCAAAGGGAGAGAAAATATGTCATGCGGGATTGTGTGGGGGTTGGTGTACAGTAGAAGAATCAGTGGACCACACACTAGTTGCAAAACTATGAGAACCCAGTTAGGACAGTTCTTTCACATGAGATGGGTAGTTACGGTTTTGCAATCCAACTGGCCAAACAGATCTTGAAAAGATAAAGATTAGGAAACACACAGATAGGTCATGGCCTTAAAGCACAGTTTGTTTCATTTTTTTCTTTCACTTTCTTCCACTCATTTTTAGGTACTCCTATGCCAGGGAAAGCACTGCAAAAAATGCCCTGGTTTTGAAAAGACACTTACATAAACAAAACTTGTTTCACAGAAAAAGCCTGAGCCGAGGTTTCTTGGACTTCTGTTAGGCTTAACTTCAGTGCTGGCTAATGCCAAACCATTAGCAGATGTGATTTTTATCTCCATGGGCTTCCCAGATGAGTACAGAAAACAACACATCCCCAGTTCTAAAAAGCAGATACTAAGTCTAATTTCTACCCTAATATACTTGGGATTTCTGAAGTTTTGTATAGGTACCAAAGATTAACCACAGTCTCAGCACAAAGAATATTTAATTAATAGAGGTTTTTTTGCAAATGTTTCTGAATGCAATAGAAAAAACATAACATATCTACACTGCAATAGTCGTAACAAATCTTTCAAAGAGTGGTATAAAATTTTATGCCTTTGAGAATATCTTGATGAATAAAAGAATGCTGACATTTCTAGCTCATTCAAAGGGGAGAGTATTAAATCCCTTTAAGCTTTCTCCTCCTAAAAGACTTGCATTTGAAGGTATGGCAACTATATTCAGTGGGAGAAAGTCCACTGTGCAGAATAGCAAAGCAATGTCAGAAAGGAAATAGAGTGAATAGTTTTTTAAAAATAAAAATAAAAATGCAGCTTAGCAGTACCTCATTTCCAGTAGTCTTTGATCTCTTTGCAGGAATCTCGTTTTCCTATAGAGAAAGGGCGAAGTAAAGAGGTATATAAATAACATTAGAGAGCAACACTGTATTCACATAAATACTGACAACAGTAGTTTTCGATGCAACTGAAACATACCTTTGCAAGCATAAAGGCCTGAACTGTAACTTTTAAAAGTAAGTATTCAGTCCTGTTTCATTGTGAAATTATAACCTTCCAGATGTTAACAGAGGAAGCTAAAAATGCACATGGACACATCCACTTTCTCCCAGCTACTAAAAAATTTAAGCAACAATTTAGGCCTCTCCTCAACTGATTAAAAACACAGTTGCCCTTCTGTTCAGTTGAAAAAGATAAAAAACAAACCAAACAAAGTCAGCATGGAAAATAAGGCCAGAGTTATCCATCACAAAGTCCACAAAGCTTAGACCAGGAAAGGGAAAGAATATAACATACAACTCCTTAAGTCATCCTCTTGCAAAGAAAGCAAAATAACAGAGACCTTTCTCGCCACCCCCTGCCCCAGCACCTCCGTCCTGTGGAACGCTCCTTCCTTGCTCACACACCAAAATGAAAGCCTCTCCTCACTGATCAGACATCGCTGCACTATAATTCAACCTACAGAAAAATGATATACTAGAATCCACCCCTCCACACCTTAAACTCTAGATGCAGGGACAGCAAGCCCCCACCCAGGGAACGTGTGATAAAAACGCCCATTGCTTTTCCAGCAATAGCACCCACAGAGCATCTCAGGAATGACTCCGAAAGAGACTTACCTATTCCATTGGACTAGTGTGCTTAGTGTCTGCAGATCAAAGAGGTTTCATGCACATCTTTAATCTCTCGTTTTAAGTAACTCAAGAAATTGGTTCATTAGCTCAGAAGTCTCAATCTGAACACGTTACAACTGCTGACCTTTCTAACCACTCATATCATTCACAGAGACCCAGCAACAAACCAAGAAAACTGTCGAAGCCCTCCCAATCTGTTTGTGTGACAACCATACCATAATAAGCAAACCTAAGCCTAAACCGAAGACTGGCAGCTCCCACCAGTGACACATAAAACAGGCGTTTCATTATTGCTATAATGAAACTCCAGGGAGCATGGCTAACAAGACGTGAAAGTGCTCAGCTGCACCTCACGCCTTGTAATTCTCCAAAGGTGCGATTACCACGTCTCTCTTGGGAATGATTGTTGGCTTCCAATTATAATGTTCCCTCTGGGAATTAACGAAATACACCCTAAGTTACCTAAGTGTGTGCTGTACATCTCCTACTGCAAAGAAAGGTACACTTTTAATTGCAGATGTAGAAAAACGCCACTTTAAAGAGTAATAGCAGAAAATTAATTCAAGAGCACGTGAACACAAATCTTAAACATAGAGGAGAACAGACACAGTGAGGGTTCCCCCTGCCCTCAATGGGATGCCACCCAGAGGGACCCCGACAGGCTCGAGAGATGGGCCTGTGGGAACCTCATGAAGTTCAACAAGGCCAAATGCAAGGTCATAGAATCATAGAATGGTTTGTGTTGGAAGGGACCTCAAAGATCATCCAGTTCCAACCCCCCTGCCATGGGCAGGGACACCCTCCGCTACACCAGGCTGCCCAAAGCCTCATCCAACCTGGTCCTGAACACTTGCAGGGATGGGGCATCTACAACTTCTCTGGGCAACCTGTCCCAGTGCCTCACCACCCTGAGTGAAAAATTTCTCCCTTAGATCTAATCTAAATCTGCCCTCTTTCAGTTTAAAGCCATTGCTCCTTGTCCTATCACTCCATGCCCTTGTAAAAAGTCCCTCTCCAGCTTTCCTGTAGGCTCCTTTAAGTACTGGAAGGCTGCTATAAGATCACCCCAGAACCTTCTCTTCTCCAGGCTGAACAGTCCCAACTCTCAGCCTGTCTTCATAGCAGAGGTGCTCCAGCCCTCAGATCATCTTCGTGGTCCTCCTCTGGACCTGCTCCAGCAGCTCCATGTCCCTCTTATGTTGGGGACTCGAGAGCTGAACGCAGTATTCCAGATGGGGTCTCACGAGAGCAGAGCAGAAGGGCA